ACCTTTTGGTTGTAGTTTCAGGGTCGCAGCTCGCCTCAGGAAGGTTGAAGTGCACTCTTCAATCTTCTCTCTTGTCTCTGCTCCAAACCATCAGCTAATTTGCTAAGGTTCTGTCCTTTCAGCCTCCTTCTGGACGGGAGCTTCTGTAAAAAGCTGGCTGCAGTTCGCTATCTTGGCTCCGCCGAGATGATTGTTTTTCATCACCAAACTGTACCTGGAGTTCTAGAACCAGTTCTCAGTGCAGATCACACACTGGAAGATGTCCACAAGAGAGAAACAGTAGGTGGAAATTGGAATATTTATTCTAGAAAAGACTTATGGAAGGAATTGTTATTTTCAAATGTATAAATGGTTGCCATGTACATCATGATTTAGATTTGTCCTTTTTTGGTGTCCTCTTAGGCTAGCCCAAGAACCTTCAGGCAAAAGTTTCAGGGAGTAGGATTTTGTCACAATGTAAGGATGATTAGAAGTATCTGAATATGAAAGAACCATTAAATGGCTAATTGGAAGAAACTGTTACTTCCTCTATTCTAGGGCCGGCCTTCCTTCCTTCTTTCTCTCCTTCCTTCCTTCCTTCTTTCCTCTCCCCTCTCCTCTGCTCCCCTTCCTTTCCCTTTCGTTCCCTTCCCTTTACTCCTTTCCTTTTTTGAAATATGGTCTCACTCTGTTGCCCAGGTTAGAGTACAGTGGCATGATCATAGCTCACTGCAGCCTCAAACTCTGGATCTCAAGTGATTCTCCTCCCTCAGTCTCCCAAGTAGCCTAGAACTACAAGAGCATGCCATCAAGCCTGACTAATTTTCATTTTTTATTTTTGTAGAGATAAGGTCTAACTATGTTGCTCAGGATGGTCTTGAATTTTTGGCCTCAAGTGATCCTCCAACCTTGGCCTCCCAAAGTAATGGGATTACAGGCATGGGCCACTATACCTGGCCTAGATCCACTATTTCTATTAATGTAACCAAATTACTGATTCACACTGAACTTGTAGAAAAAAGTCAGTGAATCTGATTTCTCTCTCTTGAACTCATGGAAAGTCAGTTATAGGTGAATCAGGACAAAAATAATGAATGGCCAATAAAAATGTAATTTCATTAGAAATTAAAAAGGCAAGGCTGGGCGTGAAGGCTCACACCTGTAATCCTAGCATTCTGGAAGGCTGAGTTGGGTAGATAGCTTAAGCTCACAGCTATCAAGGTTTGAGACCAGCCTGAGCAAAAAGCAAGACCCCGTCTCTACTAAAAATAGAAAAACTGAGGCAAGAGGATTGCTTGAGCCCAAGGGTTTGAGGTTGCTGTGAGCTATGACGCCATGGCACTCTACCCAAGGCAACAGCTTGAAACTCTGTCTCAATATATATGGACAAAATGTATTATTTCTGTCTGCTAGCAAAAATTAAAGAAGATCATATCCAATATTGATGAGAGTGCCATGAAACTGGGTTTGCATTCATTGCTGCCGGCACTTACGTCTTTTGAAAAGACTTTGTAATAGCTACACTATTGATACTTTTGTATCAATAATCTAATAGGCTATTTAATCAAAAGAAAATAAGTGAAGTTGAAACTGTGTAAATTGCCACATCCCTGAAGATGTTCATCAAAGTGTTACTTATAAAAGAGGAACTGGAAGCAACTTGAATGTGGAAAAGTAAGGTAACAGTTGGCACTAGACAGGATGTAGGTGTTGGGAATTGCCAGACATGAAATCCTACAGATCTGATTATTACAATTAGATATCAACTAGCTGGATGCAACAACAGATAGCACAGAAAATGTCCCATCTTTTAAGTCCAGCTCTGCTACTAGCTAGCTGTGTTATCCCGAGCAAATCTCTTAATTTCCCTGTGCGTTGGCTCCTCCATCCAAAGTGGAGTTTAGGTACAGTGGGCTCTAACAGAATGGATCCATTTAATAAGGAAAGTGTATCAGCCAAGTATCTTGTTTTCAGATTTCCCCTCCAAGCTTCATTTCCTCCATGTTATGTATGTTTTTAGAAGTCAGTTTGAAATAGGTAGCAGATGAGAAAAAATAGAATTCTGGGTGTCTCTCAAATAAATTACTGTTTTTGAGGGACATTTCACCATAAGTACCCCCAAGCACGTCATTATAAAGTAACAAAAAAGAGTTCTCAAGTCACTGAGGATACTTTATCCAAAAGTGCCCAAGAATGATTTCAAATTAAGGTACTATTTTTATGAGCATTATTTAAAACGACAACATTAACACCACCACTAATCTGGAAAGGTTTAGTCACACAAAACAAAGAAGGGCCAGGCATGTAATAAACTGATTTATTCATTTATACTTGAGTCTTTGAGAAATTGTCCTTATTCAGCTCATGAGCCCCTAGTTTTGTATTTGTATTAATGGAAAAAAAAATGGTCAAAACACTTACGTTGTGTGTACATAGGACGATTTATGTTCTGGGGGATCTGGAAGTAGGGTGACAGAACATGAGCTTTCAGCTCATACACAAAATCCTCCTAATTGTACCAGACTCCCTCTGAAAATGCCTTCACCCGTTTGGAACTTTCCAGAAGGATGGTGGCTCTTTAGTTTGGACTTTCATCAGGCACAGAAGTCAAGAGCAAAGGGAGATTGCTAAAAGGCAACTACATCCTTCCCCTTCAGCCACCCAGGCCCTACACTGATGCCCCAAAGTGGCCTCTTGGCCTCTGGGATGCCATGGGGGAGGCGGGGCGGGAATGTCGCTGCTCTGAGCATTCAAGGATTTTGACAGGGTTCCCTCAGGTATTCCGATCATCTAATGAGTGTCTCTCTTCCATCTCCTTTGAGAATCACTGATTGAAAACACCTATATGTGTGTTTTATGGCAGCCAATCTTGTATTTGGTCTCAAGCATTAACCACTTTGGCCAGTCCCCCAACCCATCAGATTTGGTTAGGTCTGAACAATTTTGGCTCTTCCTACCAATCAAATCTCAAATACCGATTTGTCCTCTGGGAGGACACGTCACGGCTCTGAAGGTGATTCCAACAGTAGGGATGGAGAAGGCAGCAGCAAGGGCCAAACAGAGGATGCTTAGGTGACCACTTCAAGAACCTCCACTGGGAAGACTTTACCCCAGTGTGTTCGCCAGAACAGACTGCTCCATGACCTCACAGTAACACCACGATCACGGGAGTACAGGGACATCCTAGGGAACCAACCCACCCAATGTGGGGACCCAGCAAAGGGTGGTAGCTAAGGCCAACTCTGCTTGGCTTACCACTGCTGGCGGGACTTGTGGACAGGGCACTCTAAAAAGCAAAACCATCACAAAAGGAACCAGAAAACTCTTGAGAACATTATTTTTCTGTTCCTTCAGCATGGGGACTGATGCCCTGTGGTGTGTTCCTTATTCTCACTGCCCTCTCTACCATGAGCTTCTTGTTGGCTCTCGGGGTGTGTGTACTCATGCAAGCAGTGGCTGATGTGGGCATTTGAGTGGTGATCGAATAGATCCTGGAAGATAAAGGTCTTAGGGCTAGGAATGTCATCATAAGAAACCCTTGGGACTAGGCCAGGTGTGGTGGCTCATGCCTATAATCCCAGCACTCTGGGAGGCTGAGGTGGGCAGATTGCCTGAGCTCACAGGTTGGAGACTTGGAGACCAGCCTGAGCAAGAGCAAGACCCCGTCTTCAAAAAAATAGCTGGTGTGGTGGCGGGTGCCTGTAGTCCCAGCTACTTGGGAGGCTGAGGTAAGAGAATGGCTTGAGCCCAAGAGTCTGAGGTTGCTGTGAGCTGTGACGTCATGGCATCTATCGAGGATGACAAAATGAGACTCTGTCTCTAGAAAAAAAAAGAAAAGAAAGAAAAAAGAAACCCGCAGGACCTGGGATAGGTTGGCAGACTACAGTCCGAAAGTACAATTTCAGCTTGTGTGACAACTTCCAAACGAAAGGCAAGCTTCATTTTAACCGCAAGCCCCAGGGCCCGCCCGTGGTGGGTGGCCAGCTGGCCACCTGTTCTTTATACTGCAGCTGAAGTCTTGACATCCCCAGGTGAGCCCAGCCTCTGAACGCACATTTATGCATTTGCAGACAAATGTGCTTTTCCTAGCAACCATAAAACCTAGGAGACGTCCCCCCCCCACACTGCAGGTAAGAAACAGAAATCCCTTGACTGCTTAGTGCCTGCGTGTGGAGACGCACACAACACTACGTGGGGTTTTTTCAATTGATGCAACTCAGTAATTTTTATTGCAACTGGAAGACAATACATCACAGAAACTTTATGGTAGGTCTGGGGGAAAGTGTTATTTACAATAAATGATGAAATAGTTTGTCTTTGGCAATATGATTACATACGAAGAATGCAAAATGCAAGTAGGGTGCTTCCAAAGCAACACCATTGGGTCTGGCCGACTGCGCCTGCCTCCAGGTTGTTTCTCTAGGTTAACACGAACGTAACTGAACATCGCTTTCCTCCTCCTTTATGGTTCTCCCTTTCTATTCATGATATTGGCAGTTTTGTACAGAAAATACAGAAAAAAAAATTGGCTTTTGAAAAATTACTACTCTTGTAAATCAATTTGGCTGCGTGGGTCTACTGGCCAGCGAAGGTCAGATGACCCCAAGCATCAATAGTAAACCTCTTGTCTTCTGATTGCTTTATCACTGTTTTTTTCTCTGTAAAACGAAAACAAAACTCAGAAAATGTTACAGAATCAGAGTATTAAAAAATGTACACGTGTATATGCTTCCCAGACACATATGGGTTATTTTTTCCTCCACAATTTCACCATGGCAGTTAAGTATTAAGTAGTGAGTGTGAATGACTCGGCGTGAAGCTGGTTACTGAATCAGCTGTGAGCTCAGATGGGCTCAACACACGTACTCAAGAAATGCTGCATGTTTAAATAACTGAAACTGTGCTGTTTCGTCTAAAAAAAAAAAAAAAGAAAAGAAAAAGGTGGGAAGGGGCTGGGGAATCCAGGCCACAGTCAAGAAAGGATGAAATACAATTTCTAGGTCTGATGGGTTCACCATATCGAAGTCTTTGAGAATCCAATATGGAACATCGATTATTTGCAAAAGGTAGAGAAGGCCGTTCTCAACTCTTGCAAATCGAATACAGCGGAAAAACACCTTTGTATATATTCCAAATAGTCTTGATTTCAATGCTAAGAAAACAGGATGGGTACTTGTGAGCATCTCACGGTAAGTCAGAAACGCTCGTTCACGTGGGTCTGATTTCAGAAATACAACAGCGAGATGCAGCACCAGACACATCGGTTTCAGCTGTGAAAAGATGGGTTGTTTTAAAAATTGTGTTTTCCTTCCTTAATTTTTGGTCAGCGAAGCTAGCACTTGTTCGCAACGGTGGAAGAATGACAAGGTGACACACACGATTCATGATAAAGCAACCAAGCTGACGAGTCTGTGCTTAATTCAAGAATAACCAGCAGGAGAGAGAGAAAACACAAGGAGTTCGCCACCATCACTGGTGCTCTCTCACAGAGGGGTGAACAGGTGAAGTCACAAAGGGAGGCAGATCTATACAGGACACTGAATGCCATGTGTAAATCCTCATGAAACTTCAGAAACAGGAACACCACACAATGTATATACTTTGATCTACACATTCCATTACAAAGGAAAAAAAAAAAGACACCATTACAACTTTGTAACTGTGTTAACTGCAATATAAACCAAAGTCCAGAGTTTGGCAGGTAACTAAAAGAGGGTTATCACTTAGGTTATATAGCAAAAGTGTTGATGTATATTATATATAGTAGTATAAATAATAAAAAAGTATTATTTAAATTAGATCACAGTGCTGCATTATGTGCATAACAGTGTTTGATATAGTATTGGTGGGCTGGGACCTACGACACCAAGGACTGAACTGTCAACACTGGTAAGTCACGATCAAGAGGGGACACAGAGTTCCAATGTTTTCTTTTGGTGGCAAAAATCCTCAAGAGGAAAGAAAAAATACTTCTCTACGGAAACGGAAAAAGAAAATCGCAACATCTGGGCAGCTGTGATCCACCGGAAAGAAACAAGTCCCAACCAGAATAAAGTTTAAAGGGAAAGAGAAATCACATCAAATCAAATTGAATCTCATAGAGAAAACCCTCCCATTTAGGTCACTTGTACAAAACTCTGATTCCTTCTCAAAGAGCCCTTCCGTGAGAGGCTAAAAACCCCCTTGCCCCACATGTGCTGTGGGATAATTGCAACTTGAGTCAGTAGCACTTGGTGCTGAGCAGTCCTGAGGTGCTGCAGGACTCTGAGCTGGGTACAAAAGCCACCCACGTGGTCTGCACTCCACAGAGCCCACTGCCCGAAACTGTCACTCAGGCAAGAGCCCCCTTCAATACAATAGCCACTTCCAGGCGCCCGTGGTAGTAACTGCTGTGGCCAGCAAGCACTAGACATACTGAATGCCTCTACCAGGAAAAAAAAAAAAAAAAAGAAAAAGAAAAAGAAATCTGTTCTTGGGAAAGGCCTCTGTATATTCCTTCTTAAAAACTCAGCCACAAGATTGAAACCTGCCACACTGCCACAGTTGTCTTGGCTATGGTTTTCTCGAACCACCATCTAAATGTGGGTTTGGTTCGTTTTTGTTTCAGATTTATGGTTTTACCAAAAAACTCTTAAAAGTATACCGATTAGAGAGGGGGAAGGGGGATAGGAGCTTATGGTATATTATAAGGCTGGGAAAAATCTATGATGCAAACCCTCTCCACATAGTACTAGATAAAAAGACAATTATAGTAGGATAAAAATAACTTTCTATGGGTATATCATTTAAGAAAAAAAGAGTGACAGTCTCTTTCTCTTAAATGTGTCTGAGGGCCAATAGCCAGTATTCGTAGATGTCATGGTGCAGATGTGTTCACGGTTGGTTTCCGAAGCATCTTTAAATATTGCTATAGTTTCCCGTTTCCCCCTCCCCCCTGCCCCGTGTGAGTAGGTGAGATACTGGAATGACACATGAACCACCACTTCTCCCAGCAGGAGAAATGAAAGCAAAAACACCAGACCCCTTAATGGTGCTCAAGCGATCTGTCAAGACTAATGGAGACATATGCTAATTTGGAAGCTAAAAGAACACCTGACATTTGGGAAGGAATTCCAAGACTAAAGTGAATGACACTTAAGCAAAATATTCTTTCACAAATAGGCTTGTGCTTAAATTCTCTACTGCTCTTGGAGGAGGGGATTAGAGAGGGTGCCTCCTGCCCCTTGGCTTGTTAAGGACATGGACAACCTCATTCTGCAAGGAATTCACTACAAACAGCCACATACACATTGATACTTTTTTTTTTCTCAACAATCAAAATACAAAGTTAAACACAATTGAGCCATTGTTTTGGTTATGCATAATGTGTATGCCTCCAAAAACAGAAGAAAAATAGAAAAAATTACCCTCACTAAAGGTTCCCCAACAAGTCTTCCAGCAGAGCCAACAAAGGTGCCAAGAGAGACTCAGGAAAATAACACTTAGAAAGCTGCCCGATGAGGTATTTATGCAAAAGAGTGGTTCTGGAGTTAAGAACACACTTTTATAAGATATTTCTCTATTTCTCAAAGAGATCAGAAAAGTAAATCACACACATTGCATTTTATTATTTTCTAAAAGAGGACTTTACCTCTTTAGGAAAATGAAATGAGGGGAGACAGCCCACTGTGGGGGTTTTAATTGGAAGAAGTCCTCTGCCAGAAGTTGTCCTGGATGTTTACCTCTGCCTTTCATGAGAGAAGTCTGGATTTTATTAGCTTGGTGGTGGGGGTGAAGGTGAGGGACTGAGGTGGTGGTCTTTGGGGCTCAGTCAGGTGACAACACAAATCGAGGTGTCACTCAGATCCCACAGCTGTGGATGGCTTTTATAGGGTGTCCGATGTTTAGGAGATGGGGGGAAAAGAGCACTGCAAAAATACATCTTCATTCCCATCTCTACCCTGAACAAAAATGCTGGAAGGATTCAGGTTCTGGTCCTGAATTAGACCTGTTGTAGAGGTGTATGTAGATTCTTCTCCAGTCCTCTCATCAGCAACCCATAGGGAAGGTACAGATGGGAAATGCACCAGTTAATTCCTACTGTCCGGGCTGATAGAGCTTCTCACAGTACCCGACCCTGGCAGATGGGCTTGGCTTCGGCCCACAACTGTCCCTTTTTAAAAACTCAAGGTCACCTTAGTTCCCTCCCTTCTCCCACCCTCATATCCTGAGCCGCGGTAGTGGGTGTTTCTGCTTGTGTTTAAAGTTTCCCTCCATTTGGATGGAAGATCATATTCTTTCAGAGATTTCTCTTTGGATCTCCACCCCCCGAATTTTTTTTTTTTCCTTTTTTAGGCAAAGATAACAGGAATTTCTGGCCTGTGTGACATCATCCGGTTGTCTAAATTCAGCTCTCACAAATGTAGGTGGTCTTAATTCCAGGTTGGTCACTGTGCTGAGGTGGTAGCAATGGCCAGCCTCTCCTTCCTACTGCAAAATGGCGCTGTTGCAATAAAATACCTAGGGCTGGCCTTCCCAACCTGTGTGTCACTTCCTCCTTCAAGTGTACCCTATCTCGTACCCTCACCCAATAAGGCCCATTAGCGTGCTTCCCCTTCTTCTGGCTAATTTGCATAATTATTCACTGCCTCTTCCCTAGAACCACATCATGGTGATGATTTTCTCAAGTAAGCGTCCCATAATTCTCTTGATTCTATCATACACACTCACTACTAAGTTTGCCCTCAAATTATTGCGTCATGTTAAACATGTACAGACAAAGAGAAAGGACACACTTTTCAACAGAGAATCAGAGGGGGTCGGGGCTGAAGTGCAGGCAAGGCGGTACAGAGTTCAACCATCCAAGCCCTACCAGAGCATGAAGATATTTTTATATTGCAGAGTAAGTTCCCCAACAGTCAGAGTTTGTCCCTGAAGAAGGTTAAACCTTAAACACCTGCTTCAAAAAACCAAAACAAAATAACCTGAAAAACAAAAAAACCAGAAAAGGGGGGAAAACAAAACAAAACAAAACAAAAACAAAAAAAGAAAGAAAGAAAAAAGAAAAGAAAGAAAACCAAAAGAACCTCTAAGCCTAAGGGGCTTAAAAATTAGAGGCATAGCCTTTTCTCTATTTTCTATATTTATATGAAAATAATTCATGCTTCATGCTAAATACATTATTTACCTTACAAGAACTTTGTTATTTTTTTGAATAAAAAAGTTTGTTTTTGTGATTTTTTTTCTTTTTCTTTTTTTCTCTTCAAAGGAATCCATGCGTTGTGGATCAGAAATTTCTGCTGGCTACACTGGCTGAATGTGGAAATCAATGATTTTTGCAAAGATGACTCCTAATATTAATTGCAAACTCCATGTTGAGGGCAGTATAGGAGTTCTATTATTTTTTTTGCCATGTTTTACCTTTTATTCTTTTTTTTGTCCATCTATGTGCCTTTAATCTTTAAAAAATATACCATAATACTAAGGACAGGTTCCATAGCTTTCTGTTTCTTTCCCACTTGGATCGAATAGTTTTGAAAGACAGAAAAAGATCTATACCATTATTTCCTTCCTTAACAGCTACTGTGATTTCCTGGACCTGGTTGCTTTTCACTTGGGCAGTTTAGAAGACATAGCTTATTTTCTGCATCAGTTTTCTCATGGTCCTGCGTGTGAATCTGTGTGTGTGTGTGTGTGTGTGTGTGTGTGAGCGCACAGGGCCAACCTTCAGGCTTATGGCTTTTAGAACACTTTCTTGATTTTATAGAACAAAATCCAATGATTAGCAACATCACTAAAAATTTACCCCGTTTCTTCTCATTAGTCACTGACACCTGATGCATACGGATGGTCCAGCGCCACCTCCTAAGACGATACCAGGCTTCAGCAGTAAGAAGCACAGAGGACTGGTGGCCGGTCCCCGTGCTCGCTGTGACAATGCCAAGGGTTTTCCTGGCATAACTGGATGCCTGGTGCCACGAGCTTGGCTCTGCTCCAGGGGGGCCGAGGGGTTCTTCCTTCTGCCCATCTCTTTATGTGCCTTCACTCAGTGAACCCACCTGGGTGGAGGACATCCTGACTTTTTAAACCTAAGGGTTGGGCCTGAGCGATGATGACTCTGCACGCGTGCCTTCTAGGTGCTGAGTGTGTATTCCTGTGGCATTAACGTTGACATCCCTGTGGATTCAGCCACCTGTTTCTGACAAGCTGGAGGAAGCAATGGCAATTTTGGCTTTTTCGGTTATGTCTTCGGATAATGAAAAGCTTTTGTAAAACAGCTGAGTGTCAATATGAGTTCTATGGCTTCAATCTCCTTTAAAAATAAAATTCTTAAGGGTCCAAAACAAAGGAGAGGGGGGCAAATTAAAAACAGAACAAAATAAAAAGGAAAAGAAAAGAAAGAAAACCAAACCAAAAACAAAACAAAAAAAGGAACAAAAAGAAAAAAAAAATTGCTGATATTGCCACAAATCATTAGAAATCTCCTGACATGCTGAAACCAAATGGCCGTTAAGTTCAAAACAAATCAGTGACTTGTTTTTAATTTTTTGTGGTTTCCTTTTGCTCTTTCTGCCCCTTTGCCGTCCGATTGGTGATGTTATTCAAACAGGACCGGATCCCTGCTAAGTGCAGGAGCGACCCGGCTGCTTCTTTCATCTCCTCATCATCACTCTCGGGGGGCTTTTCGGTGCGTCTCTTTTTGAGGGGCAGGGTGTCGCTGGGGACCTTCCTGGCCTTGGCGAAGTGCTGGCGCTTCTTGTGCTGGGATGCATAGCCACTGTCCCCCAGAGCATCCTTGGGCTCCTTCTGGCTGTGTTTCCTGTCGTCCTCTTCCGTCTCACTGTGGCTCTCATGGCTCTGGAAGCTGCCCTCACTGCCTTCGCTGCCCTCCTGGCTCCCTTTTGTGGCAAACTCGTAGTGGTCGTCGGCCGAGGAGGAGGAGGAGGAGGAAGAAGAGGACACGGAGTCGCTGGCGGGGGAGGTGCTCCGGGCATTGGAGGACTTGGCACTGCTATAGTTGTGATCCTCCTTGGGGTCTCCGCTGACCACTGGGGAGCCACACGATGGCTCACTCTCAGTCCGCATGCGGCAGCTGGTGATGCCATTTCTGCAGGGTGAGGACGGGGGGAGGGAAGGGAGACAAAGAGAGGACACAGTTAGACCCCCTCAGACGCAGACACCTGAGGCCACCTGCCTCCAGTGAAGCCACTCACAAAGTGTGGGGCAACAGGTAGATCTGGCCTCTTCAATCCGAACGACTGGGTCTTCCCTGCTCAGCTCCTATCACTGGCATGCTCACTCAATTTGTGCGGCTGAGACGTCAAAACAACACTCTTTTGAAGTGACAGCGGTGCAAGCTCAGTCTCTTCCATTAAACCATAAAAATCAAGCTGTGCTTGCCTCGCTTACCCGCCAATACCGCAGAGTCAGACACCGGCAGACCGTGTTGGCTGGGCACTTCAGAGAAAAAAGCACGCTCTCCTCTGAAGCTGCTGCATTAGGAGGCTTTTGTCAAAGGACTCAATCCAGTGCACAGCAGAAAGATACCTGCCATGCGGTGACAGCTCCTCACTCATGCATTCCCTCCCTCATTCATGCAATCTACAAATATTCACTGGGTGTCTAATAGAAACTCGTGACCTTAGGGAGGGTCCTAGGGGAGGGACGCGGGGTTGGATCCAATACAGACGCTGCCACTAAGATGCTACAGTCTGACAAAGAATCACGTCGTCATCGTCAGATCACAGATGAGAGGGCAGTAAGTTGCCATTTCCTGAATTCACCACCTGCCAGGAGCTCTGCTAAGTGTGCCCAGATGATCCTGGGGGGTATCAGAGTCCTTCTTTGACAGTGGCTGGAAGTTCAGTGATCTACTTCAAGTCCCACTGTTCATCAGGAGCAGAGCTGGGACTAGAACCAAAGCCTGACTCTCAAGCGTGAGCTCTGAGCTCCATCACCACACAGACTCTCCCTGGCCACTTTCCCATAATGAGGACCCTGCTACACATTCCCATCCGGCCTCTACAGAGCTCAGCAAACCTGATTATTTTCTTTGTGTCTTACGTCTGGGTATTGTGCTGACCTCCCTTGTGCTACTTTCTTGGCAAAATGAATAGTAGTGACGCCCACTTCGCAGGGTTGCCGGGCTGAGGAAATGAGTTAATGCCTACGCGAGCCTGGCCCTGTCCTTGGTTGTGTCACTCATTCCTGGTCAGGACACATATGCCTTGGGCCTGGCACACCGCAGGTGCTCAGGACAGGCACCCACCCTTCAGAGGAGTGAAAGGGTGACTTACACCTGGAGGGAACAAAGAGGGGGCACCAGGGGAAGTTCTGTGGAAGATGCGGCACCTGACCTCGGACACAAGGGCTGAAGGATTGGGGCAGGGATCAGAGATGCTCCAGCCACCCCATTTCCTATAAGCTCATCCACCTCATGATATACTTCTAAGAGTTCCGCAGAGCATGACCACACTTTCCCTGCTGAGATGACCCCTACTGTAAGGACTCTCGCTTTTCCTCCATAGACAGCGCTTCCCACATCATTACTAACTAGGGGGTCACTTGTTCAACATCTGTGCTTCCCACTGGAGTGCTAGCTCCACAAGACAGGGCCCAGCTGGCATGGTGGCGGCACCGCAGATGCCCACAGATACACTCAGTGCTCAGATACACCGAGTCAGCTCAGCAGCAGTTGGAATTGTGTGGCAGAGAGGATGAAGTCTGCGAAGTGACAGTGGGTGGCCACCACCATGGCTTACCAGACCCTCCCTGAAGACACAGCATTGGTGGAAAGGCTGTGGGGTCAGGACCACCACTGAGATATAGGAGGGAGCCCCGCTGTCCCAGCTGGTGAGCCTAGAGGTTCAGGAGGACCTTGGGGGCATCCCACACAGAAAGGGACAAGGGAGGAAAGAGTTGTTGATGAAAAGCGCACAGCAGAGTGTGAGATGGAAATGTCTTTCCTTTTGGGCTTCCAAGGACTGTGGTACTTTGCTTAGTTTAAGCTGGTGGGGAGAATCCACCAGCAAAATGTTACAAGACCATTATCACAATTTACCCTTTACTAGATGTCCAAGAGCCTCACGCTAACCCCTCACAATCGCCGTGTGTGCATCTGAGCAACGAGGCTCCTGTGTGTTCTCGAAGGTCCAGTGTGTACCCTGTACTCTGCGATCCCAGATCTGCACCTGCTCCCCCTGACGCCTACACAGAGACAGACTTCCGAGCCAGACAGGCCTGTGCTCATATCCCAGTGGTGCTTACTAGTGACTCTGAGCAGGCTGGTTCACCACTTGGACCCTCAGCTTCCTGGTCTACCATACTGGGCTGTGTGAGGATGAACTGAAACGACCAATCGCAGAGGAAGGTTCTTAGTGGCGCCTGGAGGGGTCTTCTTGCTGTCAGGCTCCTGCCACTTCCTGCTGCTGCCGTGTGCTCACTCTGAGCACCCTTGTTTTCTCTTCCCATGTGGGTCAGGAGGGACACAGAAATCCCGCAGGAAATAAGAGCACAGAAGCACTATGGAGGAATCCCACTGGGCTTGCCTGTGAACACAGCCTCTGAGCTCTGGGGACTGGCCTCCTCAAGATCTCTTTTTCATAGTTATTCTGTTTTCTGGGCATATCTTGGGTGCATAAAAATGGCTGGAAGATTCCTTTAGAGGTGTTTCCCAATATGGATCTCAATAAATGTAATTAATTGTACAGCTAGCTATTAATCATTATTAAAGCAAATGAAAATGAGTATCTCATGTTATAGTTCTCTTGATCGTTGTTGTTAAGATAACTGCTGTAAAATATAAAAATGATTCGTCCATAGAACTAGCATTAAATGGTTTTATAGGTCAGGTGTGGTGGCTCACACCTGTCATCCTAGCCCTGGGAGGCCCAGGTGGGAGGATCCCTTGAACTTAGGAGTTTGAGACTAGCCTGAATAAGAGCAAGACCCCATTTCTACTAAAAAATAGAAAAATCAGACAGGCATTTTGGTGGACGCCTATAGTGCCAGCTACTTGAGAGGCTGAGGCATGAGGAATTTGAGGTTGCTGTGAGCTATGATGACACCATGGCACTCTACATAGGGTGACAGAGTGAGACTGTGTCAAAACAAAAGGAAAAAAACAACCCAGTTTTATAGTGAACCCAGCTACACTCGGAAGAGTAAATTGGGCTATGTTTGGCTTCTAACAAATCAATTCAGTTCTGAAGCTTTCTTTTAAAAATAACTTGGGGCTTATGATTCACTTCACCCCAGTTAAGCAGAGTATGATCCCTGTCTGAACATAAATGGATGGGGAGAGAATCAAGTAAGGCAGGTTATATAACGTCAATGCCTAGTGCATCTGGATGAAGACTATGTGATGTTCACCTTGCTTTTCTTTCCTCTTTTTCCATATGTTTGAAAAATGTTTAAATAAAAAGTTGGGGGGATAGGGAGAAACACGCTAGAACCAAAGCAATGATGTCACGTTTTCGCTCCATACTATGACAAGAGGAAAGGTTTTCAGCCTGAGAACGTTCTTTCTTAAGCAGGGAGAAAGCGGCCTAAGAATGGAGCTGAGCAAGCAGTAAGTCCAAACTGGACTTTCCTCTTAAAGAGATAAGATCCCATGGATTAAAAGTAGAATAAAAAAGAAAATTATCCCCCACCCCTGATTGGATGCTGTATAGGGTGGAGTCTCTCTCTGGTAGGTACTTCATGGCAACAGAGATACCACAACCCACAACTTGGAAGCCAGGACTATACCAACCATTTCAAAGGTAAATAGAAGCTGCAGGAGCTCCATGACTTGTTTAAGGCAGCCCAGGTAGTTCTCAATATGGTTCAAGTAGGAATTTGAAATTATCTCCCTATAACCCCCAAAGAAGGACACGTACTATGATGAAGAAAGAAAACACACCCATCAACAAAATTTCTGGGTAAAAATGATAGACGACGTAACTTCAGTGAGTGAGAATGAAAATAAAAATAATATCTTTTACTCATTTAATGAAATTACCTTTCTCTGAGATTTTTTAGCATGGGCTTATAATCCATAAATTACAAACAAAACTCAGCAGGAGGTGACAAGCGCCTTCAATTCTTAGTAACTTAGTGCAACACTATTCAGGATGGTGCATCCCAGCTGTGCTGACTTGGTGTGAAACACTTCCCTCTGCAGGGGTGGTTGTTACTGGGTGCCAAATGCGTAAAGGAGACCAGCCATTCTGAACACGTTGGAAGGTAAAGTTCTAACCATCTCCTCAAAAATAATTCACTAAAATGAACATGTGATACATCTGAAAAGCTTGCAGTTTTTCAGTGTTAGCTGAATTCATGAGTAATGATACTCTCAATTATCATAAATCAGCATAAATTAAAGCCACTCAATTTTACTAGGCCTCTGAAAGTTTAAAGCACATGGCTCAGGCAAGGAGCAGTAGTTCACACCTGTAATCCTAGCCCTTTGGGAGGCCAAGATGGGAGGATCCCTTGAGCCCAGGAGTTCAACAACAGCCTGGGTAAGACCTCATTTTTACAGAAAACCATAATAGTAATAATAATTAGGCAGGCACAGTAGCATGTGCCTGTACTTCCAGCTACTTGGGATGCTGAGGCAGGAAGATCACTTGAGCCCAGGAGCTGGAGGCTATAGTGAGCTATAAAGATGCCACTGTACTCTCTAGCCAGGTGGCAGTAAGATCTTGTCTCAAAACAAACAACCCGCACCCCCGACAAAGGCTCTACAATACCTGGTATTCATTCTCTCATCAAACAGATGAGAAATATTAAACACAAAAAGTGAGGAAATCACATTAGTTCAAGCTGAGAATGAGCAATGCTTGCAATGAACAAGTTATGGTATAAGCTTATGACCTGGCATTTTGCTGGTTTTTCCTACGAATTATTTGTTTCTTTACAGCATAATGAACATAATGTTGTCTCTCCCTCTTCCCTGGTGTACTTGAATTCTGGAATTGATGGCTTTCAACCTAAGGGCTATCACTTAGGATAGTTGTCCTCCCGAGGGATTTACTTGAGGACTCTGATCTTTTGCCAGATGTAAAAAGAAGACAGAATTAATGGGATTGTAGAAGCAGGCAACTGGAGCAAGTTCCATGCTTC